GTCTCTGCAAGGTTCACACACAAAAATTAACAGACTGAAATTAATTCGTATCGCTGACAGAACGTCGTCTATGTCATACGATTTTTTTACCTAACGCCTTGACTAGTTTTGGACGTTTGACAGAGGAGGATTCTCAATTCTTTCAAGTGTTTTCCGAATTTCACAGTAGCCATTTTTTTATATCTAAAAACTTGGAAAAATACAGATCACTTTCATCACAATTTCAATTATATACAATTTTGTGTTTGGTTAAGTTAGGTTAGAATTCCGTTATTATATCATCTGATTCTCTCTCACTAGAAAGTCTAGACGTCTAGAGACAAGTAAAAGTCTGGACATTTTCAACTGTTTCCTGATAGGGTAATCTTGAACTAGACAAACATGGCGAAACATTACAATTATAGGAGTGAATTTCGTTTCATGCATATGATTTACATTTTACATGATACATCGTTTTATCCTTCTTTAAGGGGATGCTGGAGCCGCCTGTATTACCGATAAAACTAGCGTTTTTGATGTTTTTGTTCCTGTCGAATTTCTTCGTAATGGTTTCACAGAATAAAAATTTCTTTTTCAAGATTAAAATATACACGCTAATGTATTTGTCGCTGGTGTATTTTGTGTTCAAAGCTAGAAAAAATAAAAAATACAAATTTTTTTATTCATTTTACCTTCAGTGTTGGTCGCCATACTGAGATAAAAATGGATAAAGAAATCTGTAATTTTTTATTTTTTCCAGCTTTGAACACAAAATACACCAGCGATAAATACATTAACATGTATATTTTAATCGTGGAAGAGGAATTTTTATTCTGTGAAACCATTACGAAGAAATTCGACAGGAACAAAAACATTAAAAACGCTAGTTTTATCGGTAATACAGGCGGCTCCAGCATCCCCTTAATAATTGGTAAATTAGGGATAAAATGATATATCGTAGAGACCCTTTAATCAGAGACTGGCCATAAGGATTTCGTCAAATTTCTCCAAACGAGAAAAGAGTATAGGCTATCTCACTCTTCCACCAATAGCGGTGTGTATACATCATGCATACACACCGCTATTGATGGAAGAGTGAGATAGCCTATACTCTTTTCTCGTTTGGAGAAATTTGACGAAATCCTTATGGCCAGTCTCTGATTAAAGGGTCTCTAATATATCGGTGTGTATTACGTGTGAAGCAAAACGCACACATAATTTAATAATTAGCATTTTGCTACCAAGGAACACACAAAAGTCAATAAAAAATCAAAATGACTTTTAAAGATCAAGTCTAATTTGTAACAAAAAATTATTTTGATGTACTCCCTGGTGAAAATTCTTCTCATAATTTTTATACGAATTGGAACATTTTTCAGAAATATTCAGAAAATTTACATCTTCTCTCATTTTTTCATACGTGAATTCGGAAATATTCTGAGATTTCTCATCCCATAATTTTTAAAAAATATTTTTTAATTTTTTAGATTTATAACATTTCATCAGAAATTATACTTACAAAAAATCTTAGAAGTCTTACGATATTTTATAATTAACTTATATGGAAAATTCTGAGAAAATACGTTTATTAATGACTTATATTGACAATTAAACTGAATATCTTGACTGAACGTTAATAAATCTTAACCGGACAGAAAGCTTTAGCTAATCGAGCAATTCAGACCTCAATGCCCTTATCACCGACGAGATATTATTAAAGATCGACATCCTTATGGGAGTTCGCGTCCTTGTTAATATTGAAGTGATTAAGAGTAAAAAAACTGATAATATTGTACTAATTTTATGATTTATTAGTTTAATAGACGTGTTTATCGGTGTACGTGCATTTAAAACTCAATAATACTCGATTTTTCTTTAAAATTGTGATTTCAGTGTCATCGTCAAAGTTCGATTATCAACAGAGATAATAACTGCAGAAAAAAAAATTGTAATTTTTCGGTAATATATAGGATATTATAGCTTTACAAATATGCATATTTATTTATAGAGCATTTATGTAATAAAATATCATGAATTTAATAATGTATTAGTCAAATATTTATGTTAATAATAGCAAATTTATATCAATTGTCGATAATGTCAGCGTTCTTCGATTACCTCCGGGCCCTTGGGGCCCTTTTTATACCGCCGAAAATTTATCCAGGGTTGACGGTCTTTAATAGTATCTCGTCGGTGCCCTTATTAATCTTCCGACAAAATTTTAAATAAAATGCTAATTTCAATATCAGAAAACAATAATAAAAAGCTTGTCAAATGATGTTTTTATTAGCACAAGACACAATGTAAAGCAATGATCATTTCATTTTTATTTAACATTCGCAAACAAGGACGTAATGATTTACACTTCATCGAATTTGCTTTCCTTTTAGGAGACATAAAGTGCATTTGGGAAGACGCGATTAGCACTATTTATTATTTTATTATTATCATTTATTAGACATAAACAAGGATAGGAGGGCACACGGAGAAAAAAGAGTAGCTGCCACAGCTAAAAATTAGGTATGGCAGCTAAATTCAGTAGTATTATATGAACCTAACGTCGTGTTTGCGAGGCCTAATTTCCATTAGCTGTGAGGCCTAAATATTATCATTGTAACAGACAAGTATTTTGCTATTATATCGATATATTGATCATTGCAGTAAACGTTTTCTGTGTAGCAAATTTGGTAGTAAGTACAGTTTCAGGAAACCATATTTAGTTGTGGTAGAGACAAATTTCTTTTACACAGCATATCCGATAACTATCCCTGCTTAAAATTTCTGATTGAAAACTATTTAAACTTATTAAAACCGATAGAATTTGAATAAGAATGAATGGAATTTACTGGAATCGAAATTACTGCCAATTGAGAATGAATCGGAAATAATAAGATTTTAATAGAATTTCCATTTAACACTATTTTCAATAAAAATGTATTGGCATATTATATATATATATACCGATTCAAGAAATGAGAAACCAATCGGATTTTATTAGACAATGAGAAATAACTCCAATCGACGAATCGGATTGAGTGGGACATTCATTTTAACGAACCGAATCAGATCCAATCGAGTATTGTACCATTGAATGACAATAGGTTTTTATCCGAAAATTCACCGATTCTTAGACCAATAAGAAACAATCGGCAAATGTCTCCGATCGTCGAATCGGATTGAATGGGATTATCATCTATATCTATTTCATGAAATTATTCCTATTGGTTTTGGTATCAGCGGTTTATCTAATTAAGGCTGCGGTCCACTTGACGCTACAAACGCTTTGAAGTGTTTGAGCGACCAATCAGAACAAAGAATTTTACGAATTGACTAATCAAAGAATGCTTCGAAGCGTTTGTAGCGTCAAGTGGACCGCAGCCTAAAACCTATTAAAAGATAAACGTGCATATTGTGTGTGTGTGTGTGTGTGTGTGTGTGTGTGTGTGTG